GGCTTACACACTGTGAAATCTGTCCTTGGATTCCGGGAACATGACACAGTATGCGTGCCGTCCTTTGGAGAAAGGCTGTTCCAGCAGTAGAATAAACCCTAGTCTTTGTGCTGGGATCAAGTTAGCCTCTTGGCACAGCTGGAGGATAGTGCAGCTTTTTCTTCAAAGTGCTATTTTTAGCTGTTTCCAAGGAGATGTTCAGCATGATATTGATAATTGCATTAAACCTCAATTTACACAATCTGTGGAAGCAGCAGCTCCTTTCCAGTGTTCAGTGCTTAATGAGTCATGAGTTCTAATTGATCAGCCAAAAAAATAAAATGCTTTCCTGAGAATAATTGGCCTTAGAAATATGTCCCGGAGCCCTTCTCTTTGCCTGTTTAACTCTTAGTCCTAGTTAATAAAAGATATTGTGACCTTTCTTGGATTGGCTGCCCAGGTTTGCGCTTAATCAGTGATTCCTTCTGGGTGTACCTTGGGTCTGCACTTTGCCCAATGGGGTCTTCATGTTCTAAATTTACTAAAGAATGATTAACTCTTAACACACATGCGCTCACACACACTGCACAAGAGCCTGGTCTGGTAGGCTGAGGGATTCATCTGTAGTCATAGAACATTCCTGATGAGCTGGCACTGGAGAGCAGATAAAGATCAAAAAGTGTCTTGAAATTAGAGTTAGAGTAGAGGAGATAGAAATTTCTTAAACGATGGAATTAAATTCTATTAACTTGATGATTTACCTTTCTTCAAAGAATTTTTGTTTTTGAGATAACTTTTCAAAAAATATATTAAAGACCATTCAGACCTCTGGTGCATTTATTCATGAGATCATATAACTTTCTCTTTTAACTTATTGACATGTTACCTTGCATTGAAACCAACTTTTCATTTCACTTTTAAAATTTTATTGAACAGTGACACATTATGTGTGTGAATTTAAAACTAGTGGAATGCATTCGCTAATGTTTATAGGGTTTTATTTTTACCTTCATTGAAATTGTTTTGTGATTTTAAAATTAAATTTATTGGGGTAACTGGTTAATAGCATATAAATGTTATATTTCAGATGTACATCATAATTCCACATCTGTACACTCTTGCATGCTTACCACCCAAAGTCTAATTTCCTTCCCTCGCCATGTATTTGACCCCCTTTACCCACTTTGCCCTTCCTGTCTGCTAACCACCATTCTGTCATCTGTAAATATGAGTTTGTTTTGTTTGCTCATTTGTTGCTTTTTGTTATATCCCACACACAAGTGAAATCATACAGTTTTTGTTTCTTTCACCTGACTTATTTCACTTAGCATAATACACTTAAGGTCTATCCATGTTGTTGTAAATAGCAGTATTTCATCTTTTTTATGTCTGAGTAGTTTTCATTGTATATATGTACCACATCTTCTTTATCCAGTCCGTTGATGGACACTTAGATTGTTTCCATTTCTTGGCAAGAGTAAATAATGTTGCAGTGGACATAGGGGTGCATATATCTTTATGAACAAGTATTTTTTTTGGAGGGTTAAATAAGTGTTATTCATAATTAGGGGGTAGAAACCCACAAGCTTGCTGGGTCATTTTGTAATTCTGTTTTTAATTTTTTGAGAACCCTCACACTGTTTTCCACAATGGCTGCACCAGTTTACATTCCCACTAGCAGTATAAGAGGGTTCCCTTTTCTCCACTTCCATTCTAGTACTCACTTGTCTTTTTGATAACAGCTATTCTCACAGAGGTGAGGTGGTATCTCATTGTGGCTTTGATTTGCATTTCCCTAATAACGAGTGATGTTGAACATCTCTTCTTATATCTGTTGGCCATGTATATATCTTCCTTAGAAAAATGTTTGGGTGCTCAACCCATTTTTTAATTGGACTGTGGTTTGTTTGTTTGTTTGTTCGCCATTAAGTTGTATGAGTTTTGTAAATACATTTGGATATCAATCCCTTACCAGGTATATGATTTGGAGATATTTTCTCCCGTTCAGTAGGTTGTCTTTTCATTTTGTTGGTGGTTTCCTTTACTGTGCAGAAAAACGTTTTAGTTTGATGTAGATCCACTTATTTTGGCTTCCGTTGCCTTTGCTTTTGATGTTAGGTTCAGAAAATCAACACCACGACCTCTCCCTGTTAAGGAGCTCAGTGCCTGTGTTTTCTTCTGGGAGTTCTGTGAATTTAAGTATAATAGTTAAGTCTTTAGTGCATTTTGAGTTAATTTTTTAGTATAACATTCAAGTCTTTAGTGCATTTGAGTTAATTTTTGTGTAAGAAGTGGTCTGGTTTTATTCTTTCGCATGAAGCTGTCCAGTTTTCCCAGCACCATTTATTGAAGACACTGTCCTTTCCCCATTGTATATTCTTGGTTCCTTTGTCATAAATTAATTGGGTATGCCTGGCTTTACTTCTGGGCTCTACTCTGTTCCATTGACCTGTGTGTCTTTTTATGCCAGTACTCTGCTGTTTTAATTACCATAGCTTTATAATAGAGTTTGAAATTAGCATGAAGCCTCCAGCCTTATTTTCTTTCTCAAGGTTGCTTTGCCTACTGTGGGTTGAAATAACTTTTAATTTGATTTATTATGGGGTTTTCTTGGCTTACTCAGCCAATATCCCTTCATACTTGGAGGAATTTTCCTCTGTTGTAATCTTGTTGAGTCGAACTACCCCATGTCCCCCACTCCATTCTCTGACAGCCAAGGTGTGTGACCTGCACATGGCTCATCTGACGCTTCTGATCACTGAATCTGGGGCAAAGAAAGGGGAATGGGTAGGATTCATTTGCTACTATTACAGGCCTGTCTTGGCCAGATTCTTCCACTAAGAGACATTTAATTAATGTCTTCTTGCTTCTTGACTGAACAGAGCTGCCGTCTTGCCTATTTTCTAAGCTTATATATTAGGCCTCCCATTGATTCTGTAAGCACCCAATATCTCTCCAGTAAATCCGCCCCCTTTAAATTTTGCCTTGCATCCAAAGACCCTAACCGATACAGCAGAGAGCATTACGGTCCAAGCACCTCCCTCCTGGGTAGTACTAGGTGAGTGTGGCCACATTCTTATATTCGAGTCCCATCACCACCTCCCGTTTTGTTTTTTCTCCACTCCCTTAGAATAGCCCTTCTTCAGATATGTTATATCTTAAAATGAATTACTGTATCTGTTGTCAAATGGCACAGAGTAGATGCCGTAAGAATTTGATTCAGTTTATACCTGCCTTTTAGTTTCTTTACTGAGACTCATCAAGTGCTCTCTTTCATCCTGAGTACAATAATAAGGCATTCAGGAAGCACCCAACGGCATATTTACAGATCTCCGGAGACATAATGTTTTGGCTTCAGTTCCTAATCTGAAGAGTACAGGTTGTTTAGGCTCCAGCCTTCTCCTGTACATGAAATACCCTGCTAACTGTATTTCCTCCCTTGGAAATTTTTATTTAGTCAGAAGCTTCAAGGATGCAGGAAGCGGCAGGCGGGAGCCACTTCTGCCGGTTCTGCTTGTGCCGCCCATATGGCTGACAGCACGTAGAGATGCAGCATGTGTTGTCTTTGCTCTACAGCGAACATGCTCTTTGTCTTTGAGTTTGATGGGTGCGTGGCCAACCGTGTGAATTTTTGAGTTGTTAGCAGAAGCCAAGAAAAGGGAGATCCGTTTATATGGGTTTCTTCAAATCTCCTTGCGTTCGCCTGCTAACAGCATACGGCCCTGACCCTGCCGGTGAGATGCATCCCCGCCGTGAGGCGCTCTGCCATCATACCCGTGTCTCCTTCATGACAGACCACAGCTGTAGCTACATAAGTACAAAATACTTATTTTACAGAAGAATTAGAGCTCATATTTATTGAGCCTTCATTCGCTAGTCGCTGTATTGGGAGCTTTACGAGGTCTGTCCAAAAAAAAAGTCCAGCTATTGTTAAGCAACATTAGTGTAGCCTGGCAGCCAAGGAGAGCGGACTGGAATGCACATGAGTGAACAACGAGGACTTCACTGCACTAGTCAGGGTGGCAGTAGACATCATTGAGTGCGCATGTGTACTATGTGGCCATCACATTAAAATGATAGAGCAAGTAGAATGACGAATCTGCATCAACTTTTGTGTTAAGCTTGAACATTCCTCTGTGGAAACTATTCGGGTGAGTCAGAGGGCCTCAGCTACGGGCAGCTGGTGACTGGCAGTTTCGTCACGGCAACACACCTGCTCATGCATCACGTCTAGTGCAGAGCTTCTTGGAGAAACATCAAGTCACTCAAGTGACTCGGCCTCCCTACAGCCCAGATTTGGTGCCCTGCAGCTTCCAGCTTTTCCCAAAACTAAAATGACCTTTGAAAGGGAAGAGACTCCAGGGCTGTTGATGAGATTCAGGAAGCTGCAGCGGGGCAGCTGGTGGCCGCTGGGAGAACTGCGTGGGGTCCGAACATGCCTATTTTGAAGGGGACTGAGGCGTCATTGTTGTGTGTATGATGTTTCTTGTATCTCCTTCAAAGAATGTCTCTATTTTTCATAGTACGTGGCTGGATACTTTCTAGACACACCCTGTCATATGTACATTATTACATTAGTCCATAAGAGCATTAAAGTCTCATTTTTTTAGATGAAGAAAATAAAGCTCAGAAAGATCTGGATGTTGTCCAAGATCATGCAATTAATAAATAGCAGATCCAGAATTTGGATTTACAGTGGAATGTATACCAGTGGGCATATTGTTTAGTTTCAGTTTGAGTAAACAGAAATTAAATGATACCAGAATTACCATTCTGTGCAAAAGATAGAAACATAGGAAATCTAGGTTTCCCGTTTTAAACACAATCAAGAATGCTGTTGTTGATTAGCCAGATGATTATGTGTTTTTCTCTATATCTGTTAGAGATTTAGATAGAACTAACCCAGTTCTGAAAAGTCAGGTTGCTGCCTGTTAGATAGCCTGATGAGTAAAGAAAACTGACCTTTTTGTTCACTTAAAATAATACTGTGACAAGTTATGCAATTCTCTGGTCTCTCTTAGAAAAGAAGAGAAGAGAGCACTAGACTGAAGGAGGAAGGAAATGAGCAGTTTAAGAAAGGAGGTAAGAGAACTGTTTCCGCACCACTGACTGCTCATCTCGACTTCTCCTTTACTTGTAGAGTCTGTGAAGAAGCCCCAAAGAACATTTGGAATCAACTACCAAAGAAACTGCTCACAATGTAGCACTGGCCCCGCCGCACCTTGGAATTTTGTTTTTTACCAGGTTCAAATTGTTCTCAGCTGACAGTAACCAGTTACCATGTGTCTCTTGGCACGGGGAGAGCCTTCTTTTCTGTAATCCCCTATCTATAAATCCTGAAATGAGCAGGGAAAACTCTTCAGCTGTTGCTTTGGAACTCTAACCTGGAATGTTAAAAGGTTCTTTGCTGCATTGCTATAAAAACAGGGCCCCATCCTCACTTTGTAGTAATCCTGTGAAAGCCCGCCCCATGCTTCCAGCGGGGCCTAGGGCGGAATTTTGCTTATATCCGGGGGCTCATTCGCGGGCCTTTTTCTTTGGATGCTTTGAGAGGCACTCGTCGAGTCCCTCTGGATTTCCGGCACACCCTTGGGAATGCCGTATTTCGCCGTGTATAGTGCACACTTTCTCCCCAGATTTTTGAGGGAAGAATAAGGATGCACATTATACATGGGCAGTACTAATCCTGTATCTATATAAATGTTTTAAATTATTTTATTTATGCTTATGTGCTAAAAGTGTAACTCTAGAAAGCAATAATGATATTGATATGTTCAAAAATAAATGATAAAATTCTTATAATACAAAAAAGTACCTAAATATATATACATAAATAATTGAATTAAAAACTTAAAAGGGAGTATTTGTTTCTTGAAAGTATGGGCCAAAAACATGCACGGGTGCGCGTTATACACAGCAAAATATGGTACGTCAGTTTCGTTCTGTTAATTCGGGGGAACTGTTTGCTCTTATAAGAGCCTTCATCATGTCTTAAAGTATAGATGCTTTCACAATCTAGGAGTAGTAATATTTTCCCCTAGTTACTTTTAGGTTTAAATTTTTTCTCTTATATCCTGGTTTAGCAGTCATCACTTTCGTTCTGAGAGAATTTAATGGTTCTAATTTTGAAAACATAATCTCTTTGTATTTCTGTATTAAATATTTCCAACCTGAAAAAGATGTCAGTAGGCAATTTTTCTTTAGGACCCTGCCCGTCATTCTGTGTGGCAAGGAATATATAAATGTATCACCATTTTCCCTCATAAGGTCTTTACTCAACAGGCCATTGATCTCAGACTTCAGTCTCTTCCATCTATCCAGTTTCCAAATCCCCTTTCAGAACTCCTTACTAAATTGATAAGCTAAATGGAAGGTGAACATTTAGAGTGTTCTGTTGGAGACTTTTGTCCTGTGAGTGGAAAGCTATGCACTCGAAGATCCTCTGGAATACAGTAATGTCAGGAATAAAATCATAATGACCTCTCACCTTTGACTTTACCCTCAGATTACGTAGAAGCGGAAAGTTCTTACAGTCAAGCCCTTCAGATGTGTCCATCCTGCTTCCAGAAAGACAGGTCTGTTCTGTTTTCAAATAGAGCTGCTGCAAGGATGAAACAGGTATGTACCTCTGGCCTTTTTTTAAACAAGCACAAGACCTTGCAGTGTTTGCATAGGGCAGCTTCTCTCTAAAAATTAGCATACAGCCTTAACATCAGCGCGCTCCTTTTCCTGCTCATGTATTTATTTCCCTGATATAAAGGGGCACAGGAAATACAGAAACGTATTTTGAAAATCTTGCAGAAAGTCAGATTACTGGTAACATTCCTCATTAAAGTGGCTGAATGAACACTTCCATGGAAAGAAGACTAACAACGTTTCCAGCAAACTAGGAAGGGTTTTTGAACCGAAGACCTTCGTAGTGGGTGACCTAGAATAGCTACGTGACTCATGTTAGGCCCCTGGAGTTTTAGACAAAGACCCAGAGGGAAACACTGATTAAAACTCTGGATTTCAAGGTGCTTATTCCTGAGATTCTGATTTGTCTGTGGAAAGTACGGCCATCGGGAGAAATGTCCACCACTCGGGATGTGAGGCACCCTTAAAGGCCAAGTAGGTACTGGGGGAAATTCAGAAGCGTTTTACCTTTCCCAGGCATGGAGAACCTGGAGTAGCAGGGCGAATGTAGAGTAGAAAAGAGTGTGGTTACATTTGTGTTGTACCATGTTGGTGTTAAAAGTTAGACCTTTGATTCATTTGTCTGATTTCCTGTTTAGTCAACATAGTAAATTTTGCTGGATCAAAATGAGAATTTGGAAAAAAGCAACACACTTGTTCAACTATGGCTACTTGTGTCCACTGTGAAAAGGGTAGGTTATTTAACATACCTTTAAGCAACCATGAAGCAGGCCCTAGATTGGGTGACGTGGTTTTGTGTTTGTTTAGATAAGTATCTACGTCACTTGGTCATTGATGTTGCCTGAAATTCTCTAGTGCCTCTACCAAAGTCCGTCTGTCTGTCTGTCTCTCTGTCTCTCTGTCTCTCTCTCTCTCTCTCTCTGGATAACCAGGTTCAAAAGAAAAAAAGGAGAGGAAAGGATGGTTGGTGCTTGAAGGCTTGGACATGCAGGAGGGTGGTTTTTTTTAAAACCTGAACTTGTATGTTTTATTGTTGGATTCAGTCTCCAAAATGGAGTATTTTGGGGGTGATTCATGTGGCATTGGAGAAGAAGTAATTCTAGAGTATATAAATAGACATCATGTATTAGGGGTAATAAAACAATTAAGTTTATTTAAAACAATACTTGTTAATATATTCTACCATCAATCAGAATTCACACCTAACAGTTTTTACACTTAGCTTAGAAAACTCTCATCTTTTGCTTTTGCTTCTTGGAGGCATCTTGCCGTGTTCCCAGACTGGAAATTGTCATTGCTAAATGGAACTAAGGACACCTCCGGTGTCAGAGAAATGCACCACACCCACCTGGCTCCTGGGACTTGGGATTCTTTCTTTCCACAGCCGCCTGGTTGTCGGTATGGCCAGGGCCGGGCTGGCAGAACCACGGGTGCCTGAGGTAGGGCAGTGTGCGGGCTCCGTCACTCCTGAGGGGAACCCAGGAGAGAGTTGCTCGGTGACCATGTCCTCGTACCGAGAGAGGTTCGTTGCTAGTGGAGTGGGTGGTGGTGGTTTGTTTTTTTAAGTTGCACTCTTTCGTATTTTTAAGAAGATTCTAAAATTAGAAACTTGAAAACTTCCAGGATTAATGCTTTGTAACAAGTTAAGGACCATATTCTGAGTTTATTCACGGAGGTCGTGGGTTAACTGCTCTAGGGAGAATTTCTGAAAGGCCAGTTTGCAGACTCAGCTCCTCCGCCAGGCCTTGCCTTTCCTCGCTGGAGGGAGGAGCGGCGGGCTGGGTGAGGGCAGAGGTCCAGCTCTGCGTCTGCCTGCACAGGAGCGCACAAAACCCTAAAAGGGGAGGCTCTGCATTTTTAAAACCTCTGTCCTTATATATTATGTGCATTGTTTTATATAGTTATTTAGACTGATACAAATTATGAAAGGATGGTAAAGAAGGTCTGATTTATCTTCCACACGCCCCACCGTGCAGACTGTCACTTTAAGCAGCAGGCAACACCTGGGTCCCCCGAGGTGTCCGTAGACGGTGGGCTTGAAACCAAGGATTCTGCAGTGAATGCCAGAACTCCTCAATCTGCCGAGGCCACTGGTTCGTAAGGTGCACTGCAGCCTGACAGCCGTTTCTCAGGGGCAAGAAAGCACCTGACAACGGGTGTGCGCGTAAACGTGAAGGTCCATGCCTACTTCAGAAACTTTAAAATACAGAATTGTGAGTGTTAGATGTATAGAAAGCTAATAAATTGGGGAAATATTGACTTATACAAAGTTATACAGATTTCTCGACGACGGTATTCTTAGAGCTTTTAATATGTGAGTTGCTATGATGAACATTGGAAGAGATATAATATAGAGTTTCCCAGATGACTCTGGAATCTTCTGTGTTTATTATGGGTAAAATACACATGACATAAAATTGACCATTTTAATAATTTTAAAGTATACAGTTTAGTGCCATTAAATGCATTTATAAATGTTATGCAACCATCACCGTCTGGTTCCAGAACTTTCTCATGACCCCAAAAGGACACCCCGCACCCGTTCAGCCTTCATTCCCCATCCTGGAACTGTTTCTGATTAAATCTTAAAATTCAGTTTGGTACACATTGCTCTAAAATATGCTGCAAAATATTTTGTATTTGCTACAGTAGCCATTATGGAAGTATCGAACATTTATTTGAACTAACATTTCTGTAATTGTGAAGAACGCTAATTTGGGAAAATAGGCATGTAAGAGCCGGAAGAGGTAGGTAGCAGGTTTGTCAGAGCTGCGGTTAGAATCTGGTTCTTTTCACACCCAGTGTTCTTTCTGCTGTGCCGTGCGTCTAGATTCAGCAAATTACATCAGAGAGTGGTTGTGTATTTTTGTTTCATCAGTGGATATATTAAGGTTTATACCTGCGTGACAAGCCACACTGTGTCGCTACAGGTGAACCGTCTGTATACTCTCTGGAAGAGATCACTTTGGGTCAGCTGGCCAGAGGGGAGGGTTATTAATTCAGTTACTCATGTATCAGTCATCTGTTTACTGATGACAAAGTCTCCTCAGTGTCAGCATTCTGACATAAAAGCATCTTGCAAACCTAATAGAGCAATGACAGTAGTCTCTAAAGATACTGTAGGAGGAAGCTACTTGAACTTTCAAGTCAGAGCTATCACCATATTTGAATTTTAGTTTGGAAGTACGTTGCATATTTTTGTGTGATTTGTTTGAATTCTGCATCTCCACAAGCAGTTATTAATGATGAGTGTATGTCATTGAGCCTTTGGGCCATTAAGACAGAATCAGGTTGACATATATTAACGTTAGTGTTTTTTTTTGTTGTTTGTTTTTTAAGGACAAGAAAGAGATGGCCATCAGTGACTGCAGCAAAGGTACAGCTTTTTGGTCTTGTTACATGTTTATATCCCAAAGCATCACCTCAGCTAGACCAGCAGAGAGAGGCGCTCAGTCAGGTGTCCCCTTTCTCTGAGGCCTTTAAAGAAAAAGCTTTCTGCCCTGACTGGTGTGGCTCAGTGGACTGAACTCCAGCCGGCCTGCGAACCAAAAGGTTGCCAGCTTGATTCCCAGTCAGGGCACATGCCAGGGTTGTGGGCCAGGTGCCTAGTTGAGGACGTATGAAAGGCAAACACACACACCAATGTTTCTCTTCCTCTCTTTCTCCTTCCGTTCCCCTTTCTCTCAAAAATTTTAAAAAAGGAAGAAGCTTTCTGGTTTAACCCTTTTTAAAGGGATAATGTAGTAGTTATCTTATGGTAAGTGTGCTTTCGGATGGATGGTTCAATAAGTTTTTCCTGTCTTATAAATGTATAAATGTATGTGAAGAAAAATTCAAAGCTGCCTTAGCAGCCGAATCTGGTGGAACAGAATTTACTTTCTGTAGCATCCAAATTACTTTTCTTTGAAGCTGAAGATCTTAGCTGCTATTAGGACATCTGGATCTGTGTGTTTGGCTGTGCGGGGAGCGGGGCAGGGGGAGCAGATTCTATTAGGGAATTCGTACTCTCTTCCAATGTAATAATTCTTCCAAAACTACTTGCCATCGTTTCAGTCACTCTCTCAGTCCCACACACTGAGTCAAAGACTTCTCTGCCTGTCACCTGAGTGCTCTCAGGGTCTTCTCATCCCACCAACATACGGAGACTCCCAGACTTAGGATCACTATTGTTTCTTTTGTTTTCAAAAATTTCCTAATAGGCTGGACAGTTTTTCTTGCCTTTCTAACCACCTTGGTGTAGAGACACAAATAATCACTTTTCCTTGCATCTTACTACTTACTCATTCATGAGTTTTTCTAGCTAATTATTACTTTTTGTAATTTGGGGGGTTTTTTGTTTGTTTTCCTCTGTTTGGATAATTTCTTTAAGAGAACCACAGGGTTAGAAAGAACCTATGTTGTCTAGTTGAACTCTCATACAAAGCATAAGTTCCCTTTTCTATTTTTTTTCTTTACATTAATTTGTCACCCTCTCTACTGGGGCTTTTTTTTCTTTATATTTGGTACTTCTTCACAGTATCTGAATGAAACCATTACTACATTAGAATCTAGCTAACTACTTCTGATCTAAAACTATCTTGGCCTGCAACGAATTCTGAATGTACTGTTTCATTTGGAAGAAGGTGTTTAACCTTCCTCTGTGTATGTGTAGGTTTGAGAGGGTTCATTTTCAGAGTTCCTTTCTCTTGTAACGAAATGATGGGAAACTGCCTGTCAAGCTTAATTATCAGGGTATGCACTAGGAAACGGTTCCTGTCCAGCCGTGGCCCTAAGGGTAGCAGCCTTATCAAGAAAAGCGGGGGAAGAAGGTGTTTTCCAGATCTGTGCTTGGATCTGGTTCAACCAATACCCTTGTGCTTGTTCAGAGTCATTGTGGGCGATATGCATCATACCCCACAAGCAGAATACACTGACACTAGTGTGGTTTATTTTTGTTACAGACCTCCCCTCACCCCAAGACACAACATACTCCCACTCAGTTCATAGATCTTCTTGGCAAAGGACTTAACAGCTTATTTTTGGGGTCGTATTAGAGCTTATCACTACCAGTCATATGGGACAATATTTAATGCCTTTCACTTTAGGGTTTTCAGCCTTGGTTAATAAAGAAACTTGAGCCCTGGCCAGGTAGCTCAGTTGGTTAGAGCATCATCCTGATAGGCCAAGGTTGCGGGTTACCATCCCCACTCATGGCACATGCAAGAATCAACCAGTGAGTGCATAAGTAAGTGGAACAACAGATAGGTGTTTCTCTCTTCCTCTCTCCCCCCTCCCTTCTCTCTCTCTCAAATCAATCAGTTAAACTTTTTTTTTTTTAAATAAAGAAAAACTCGATATAGATGAGCATGTATAGGCCCTCTTCCTTCTTGGTAACAGTTACCTCTTCTGTTTCAGCCATTCAGTTAAACCCCAGCTACATCAGGGCCCTGCTGAGGAGAGCAGAGTTGTATGAGAACACTGACAAGCTAGATGAAGCCCTGGAGGACTATAAATCCATACTAGAAAAAGACCCGTCAGTACACCAAGCAAGAGAAGCTTGTATGGTAAACCTCGTTTTTTATTCTTTCACTCGTGTTGCTCCTCAGCGAAGTTTAAATAATCCTTCGGGACATAACTACATTCCATTTCTATATGTTTGAGTTGCTTGTCAAAGCATATGGGAACCCCAGCTGGTGTTGCTCAGGGGTTCGGTCGTCATGAGAGGTTGCGGGTTCAGCTTCCCGTCGGGGCCTGTTCCTGGGTTGTGGATTTGACCCCCTGCCCAGGCACGTACAGGAGGCAGCTGATCAGGGCTTCTCTTTCACTTGGGTGTTTCTCGCTCTCCCTTCTTCCCTCTAATGAAAAGTCCTCAGGTGAGAATAACATAAATAAATATATATATGATAGAGTTTGGAAATGTGGCCACAGACCCACTGTGACCGTGTACCATTTAAGCTCCATTCTTAAGTGTCACCTGTGTAAATCTTTAATCTCTAGGGTTGACAAGAATTTTATTTCATTGTTATCCACTGTAGTTATACTGCAGTTCAGACCAAAGCAAGTCCTTGTGTTCTAGGTAATAAAGGTCTGGTTTTTCTATCCATCCTTATTCTCATTCAGCCTCCAGTTTGTTACGTATTGTCTCATGCCCCACACATTTGCAGTTGAATGTATCCTGCACTAGCCTTATCTTTCTTAATGACTTCTCTTCTTATCCCTGATGCTACAAATCCTTTTGCTTCTAAATGTTACAATATTTTTATGTCAGTTATAAATTAACTAAATGTCACTGCTTTCCTCCCGCTTAAAAATAACTGCAAGGTTTGTACTTCACCTTTAACACAGCTCTGTGATGGTCCCCAATGCACAGAGCCGTGTATGCTCTGAAAGATGTACGTGAATATGCACGTTATTACCCCCACAAAAATGCACGTGCAGATAAATTTGAGAAACACTGGCTTTACCTAAACAGCGCTCCTCGCTGCCGGACGTTTCTGGGAGCTGCTAGGTGGGAGGCTGGCGGGAACCCCGTGCGCAGCAGAGCACATGGGGGCCAGCGGGCAGGCGGGAAGCTGCGGGCGTGTTTTGGTTCAGCCAGCTTTTGTTTGTTTGTTAATGAAGCCACTTACCAACACTTTAAAATGAGAAGGGTTTACTAGACGAAAATCAAAGCAGACTCCTTTTGAAAATAAATTTGAAGATGCGGACATACTGGCTGCGTCTTAAACTCTGAGACAGCAGTGTTCGGTGTTCGGCAGGGGCGCTCGGTCCCGCTGTCGGCCACACCCCCGCTGCCGCCCTCCGGTTCCCGCCCTCAGTTATATTTCCTGCCTGCTCCTGCTCGTCTCATGGGATGACGATTCCACCCAGCACACCAGGAAATGTCGGCTGAGCTTTCTGTGTTAATGTCCTGGGTGGTTTGAGTTTTTTTGCTCTGTATACATACTTGAGGTGAAGTCCTCCTATAATAACAGATCTTTTCCTTACCTAGAATTGGAGTAATGGGAGACAGCCTGATTTGGATAATTAAAATTCATAAGCAATTGAAACCAGTTTTAATCCTTTATTTGACTTTTAACATATCTCTGAATGATGGTAAGATTAACTAAATCTGACATAAGGAAAGAAAATACTTAAAATCTTGGGCCAAACTCGTGGTAACCTTTATCCTTGTCATATTAGTTTTAAGCCTTTTGTGAAAGGAAGTTTTTTATGCTAGTTGTTATGTGCATAAAGAATTTTATCTTGAATTGTTATAACTGAGTTATTATTGGACTCTCAGAGTACGTGGGGCCAGTCGCAGAGCAAAGAGTGGCCCCAGGAGATGCTCGTCTACACCAGTGGCTCTCAGCCGGGGATGATACAGTTCCCAGGCACCTTTGGCAGTGTCTGGAGACATTGTCATGACTGGGAGGATAGGGCACTACCAACCTCTGGGTGGGCAGTGGCCGAGGGCGCTCTCAACATCCTGCAGGGCGCACGCGCCCCACCCCCGCACCCCGTTTGGAACGCCAGTGGTGCCGAGGCTGAACAGTGTAGGATCATCCGCTGTTGAGCCGACCCTTTCTCTGTAAATTACATTGTATAAAGAAAAGACTTCAAGTGAAAAAATATAAATAAGCAAAAAAACTAAAAATAGAAATGCCATCTATAATCTTACCACCCAAGTATACATTGTACATACCACTGTAAACTTCTGGTAAGTATTTTTTCAGACATCTTTTCGTGTATGTGTTTATTCACCGAATTTTTACCTGAGGTGTCCCTGGGCCACTGTGGCCGAGACCTGGGCGCAGGGCAGCGAGGCAGAGCAGGCAGGGCCCCCGAGTTCACGCAGTGCGCCCCAGGCAGGTGTCGGTGTTTCCTTTCATATCACGTATCTGTGCGCAGCCTTATCTCACTTTCACGGTAGTTTTTCATGTTTTCAAATTCAGAATAAAGCTCAAGGATTTTTTTTTTTTCTTCACCGACCCCTGTTTCTCCTCTTTTGCCCTCAGAGATTACCTAAGCAAATTGAAGAACGAAATGAAAGACTAAAGGAAGAAATGTTAGGTGAGTTTGCTTCCCTTTCTCTTAACCGTTGACCGTAAGTGGCTGCGGGAGGTGGAGGGGGTCAGCAGGACTTCCATTCTTTGGAGGCAAACACAGCAGGCAGAAGCGGCTTCCTGGCCCTTTGTTGTGGGCAGCGGTTCTGTGGGGCTTGTGCGTTCTTAGCTCTTTTCACTCCAGAAGGAGCACTGTGGTTTAAAGAGGATGTCGGCTTTCCAAAACCAAACTGCCATCTTCTTTTTCTTGGAAAATTTCCCTGCCTTCAAGATACAAACCCAGTTTGGTTCCAGCCTGGGATGCCACCAGTCTGTATTTCAAATCATGAGTGTCATAAAAACAGCTGAGTTTCTTCATTGAGTAAACAGCTTAAGGTTTTAAGTTCACCAGGATTCAGTCCCTACAAGCCAATAGCATGTCAGAAACGAGGGAGGTGTTGTTTTGGAAACGCACTGACTCTCTTTGAGAGGGCAGGAAACAGGGGCGAATGGTGAGGGGAAGGCTGTGGGTGAAGGGGAGGGCAGATGGATTCCTCTGATCCATGTTTTAGCTACTTCTCTCATTTGCCAAAGCAGGTGGTTGGAACAGTTAGAGAGCCCCTCTCATGAGCAGTCTGCTTGACTAAGGGGAGTACAGGTTCCTGGCCAGAGAGCTGTCCAGCATATTCTGCCTAAAACCTGCCGTCTCCCTACTCAGGATCAGCACAGTGGTCTTTCTTGTGATTATTTTCTAAATCTGCCATGTGAGTTACATTTAATATATTGTAATCACAGGGCCCTAAAGGATAACTTACAATGAAGTGAGCCTGGCCATTTATGACCTCTGGGCATCGGTGTCCAGAGAACGGGACAAGTTTCCTGGCGGTTTACTCGCACAGTAGAGTTGATTGAGGAGCTCCTACCAGCCGGTCCACAGCCTTCTGACCCCGCGGGCTGGCTGCAGACTCCAAGGAGTGCAGCTCCAGACCTGGACAGTTTCTAGGGCCTTCCCCAAAAAGGGCCCCTTTTTTCCCAAAAAGACTCTTGCCCTAATTTGCATTTTAATTAAACTTTACGCCATGTTTGAGCAGAAAAATTATTTGGACATACTCTTTTGTCAAAGAAGAGTGAAAAGAGCATTTTCTCTCCTAATAATGATGCTTTATTTTAGCAAAAAAAAAAAAAGTATTTGCATTGAGCTGAACTGGGCTTCATGCGTCATATTTCATGAACAACCGCTGTGGGCACGGAACGGGCTCTGGGGCATGGGTCTTCAGGCATCGATTGTCTGTTTTTGAGCCAGTACGAACCCATAAGGGGTGGGTGCAAACTGAATCTTACGGCATCATCAGTTCCAGCTGGAACCAAAACTTCCATCTGTCCCTGTCACTGTAAAGTCTAATGAGCCGAAGCTTCCTGTCTCATGGCTTCGGGTTTTACTTATATTGTTCCTTTCATGTGAAATATGCGTGTTGAATTCGTTCCATCCGTTGCTTCTGTAATGAAATCTCCCATCAGACTGAAACAACTTAATTAAGTTGCTTAGCAAGTAACATGTCAGTTCGTTGTTAAACATTAAAATACTATGAATAGCTAGACTCCTTTTTCCTTCATGAATATAAGGATCATGAATAAAATCCTGCTTCTGGGTGTTAGCTGCCGTGGGAGAGCCTGGAGGCGGGGAATCATCCTCCACAAGGCTCTCCGCCCACACGAGCTTTCTGCTGGTCTTCCTGCCCCGTCACCGCGGTTCACGTGCTGTGAGATCTTTGGAGGACAGTGTCACTCTGACTGCAGAACAACGTCCCTTGCTCAGAAGCGAGGCCAGCTTTTCACAGTGGACGCACGATTTTTAGTGCTTGTTCCTGTGGGGATGATGGCTTCTGCTGGAGGACCAGCTGGGAAAAATGTAAAAAACTGCTTGGTGGCATTTGTCAATTTACGAAGTTATGTGATTATTTAACAAAATGAGCTTTTATTTAGGTTTGTTCCATAATCTTCGACTCGCTCTTTCCCTCTTTCCGCTCTTTCCCTTTTTCCGCTCTTTCCCTACACCCAGGCAGCCCTGTCCCTCTAATTACGAGATGGCTGTTTTCAGGCAGTTTTTAATACCAGCCTTCTGGTCAAGATCCCACTCGCCAGCGAAAAAGCAGGTTATCTTTCAAAACTCCTTCTAACAACACAGTGCCCAGATCGCCTCACTTGAGAACTTGTCCAAAAAGACACGTGTTCCAGGCCAGCCCAAGACCTGATGAACCGGATGTGGGGGTGGGGCCCAGCACTGCGCTGGGGGGGGGTCTGTGACCCTCGCGGGCGAGTTTATCCGCTGCCATTGGGAGGCGCCATTGGCGCGGGAGCGGCAGTGCAGAGGCTCCATGGGGCAGGGGCCACAGCCACTGTGTGGCGAGGAGTGGCCGCCGTCAGGAGTGGCCGCCGTCAGCCGTCTGCCCTGGGAGCTCCCTGCTGGGCAGAAGCAGGCATGTCTCCAGGTTTATCTTTCCCTCCTTGAGCTGTTGCTGCAGCAGAGAAAAAATAGAAAGGAGACCCATCAAAGGATACAGGCTCTGGGATGAGTGCTGGCCAGATCGCCTGCTGCTAAGTGGGATTACAGTCAGCAAGTGGCTGCTGCTGTGTCACGGGGAGCAGACTTGGAGGGACCGCTGTCGTCACTGCCCGGCAGCCGGGCTTTGGCAGGGTGCCCTCCTTCCCCCGGGAGCAGCAGGTGATTCGCCAGGACTCCTCCTGCGGCCTGTGTCCTCCGGTGGGCCTGCCGGCTGCGGCAGCAAGCCCTGCCCTCCCTCCTGGGAGCCAGCCGGGCTCCCTCCCGCTCATCTGCGCAGGCCCAGGCTCGGGCGGGCGCGGCGCAGTGATCACACTCCTGAGGGGGACGTGGGGACTGGCAGCCTCGTTTTAAAAGCGGGAGCTTCTGTGACTACCAAGAGATGCTCTTTATGTTGTGTAATCAGATAGAAAGGCAAGCTTCTTTTCCTTCCCTTTATTTATTTGAGTTTTTGCTTTTACATTGCAGGAAAACTAAAAGACCTTGGGAACTTGGTTCTCCGACCTTTTGGACTCTCCACAGAAAATTTCCAGATCAAACAGGATTCTTCTACTGGCTCCTACTCCATCAATTTTGTTCAAAATCCAAATAATAACAGATAACAAAGATAACAGTAGCTTTCAAAGCTGGCTAGTAAATTGTGTGCGGCTTGCTGTTAGCAAGAGGAAAGGCTCTGCCAGTGTTTAACTTCTAAAAGCATCTTATCTCAAACATAGGCACCCCCGTCCGGCCCAGCGCCCCCTTCCCGCCCGTTTCATGATCAGGGAGAAGTGCATTTCCTGACGTGATGAGCCTGATTCACTTCCCACTGTAAGGCGGTGTCTCTGCAGCTGTCGCCCTCGGCCCTGCTGGCCTTTGTTTTGTCCAAGAGGCAGCCTGTCAGGGCTGACCTCCCTGAGCCAAACGGCCACAGAAGCCCAGGCACGGCCTCTCGGGGCCCGAGCAGACCTGCTGGTCGGAGACCGCCCGGCCGGGGCTGGGGGCCCCGCCTGCCGTCCCTGCTCCCTGGTCGCGCACACTGCCGGCTGCTGTGCGCGGGCTCCTGACCGACCCTGTGGTAATAAACGCTTCCTGTCATGGTCTGAGCTGGGTTGTGAGTTTTGTCCCCGCGAGCGCAGCGGAAGCAGGCTCCTCTGGCTGTGGGAGCAGCGCTGCTTCCCGGCAGTGCTCCTGAGGGGGCCGGGAGCCCCAAACCCGCCCAAAGTCTTTGTCGCCGCCTGGAAGGTGACCTCGAAGAGATGACTGTTCTGCCGTGCACTAGAATTCAGAATCCACCTCAGCAGCTCTGGGCCTCGCCAGGTTTGCACAGAGAGATACTCGTGAAATCACTTTTTTTCTGACCGAGCATCTATTGTAAAAATTTCAACTTAAAAGTTTCATTCCGGAGTGGTAGTATGTGAATCCCAGAACAAAACTGTATTTTAACTTTTTAAAAATTGATTGTTGGAGGGGAGGTGGGGCGGGGGGCGGGGGAGAGAGACATTGATTGTGTTGTCCCGCTTAGCTGTGCGGTCCTTGGTTGATTCTGGCACGTCCTGACCAGAGCGCGAGCCCGCAACCTTGGCGTGTTGGGACGATGCGCTAACCAACCGAACGACCTGGCCAGGGCCCCAAACCACAATTTTTTAGATTACATGAACCCAGAGGTTTCGGAGGTAGTTTTGTTGTTACTGTTTTGTATTCATTCACTGATGCTGTTGAAAAGCTTTCAGTTCTGGTTTGGTGTCGAAGGGCAGTGAAGTGTGAGGTTCATCTCAGAGCTGAGGTACCTGTAAAACCTTGTGGGCGACGTGCGGTTGTGCCACTCCCTGAGTTAAGGGTCGTGCTGTTGCTTTGGCGTGTTCCTCAGAGCCCGAGACTGTTGGTTTATGAGCGGAATGATGGGCAGTATTGCCTCTGTGATTTGCTAAGCTTGTCTCCCAGATTGAAGTGAAATTCTTCATAGAATTTACTAGGGGAGGAGAAAGAACGTGGTTAATTTTGGTTTCCTACCTTTATGGTAAATCTGCCCTCTCAGTTTCCCAGCAAAGCGTGAGCTATGCCCCGCGTTGTGCAGAAACCTCGGGCGGAGCGCGTGGTGTAGCCGTTGGGAGTGCTTCCCGCGCAGCCGTAGTTGGCAGAGCAGGTCTCCGAGCTCTGGGTCTCAGGTCCTCTCCCAGCTCACAATTTAAGAGTGTTTTGGCTCATGTGGATTTTATGTGTTGATACTTAACCACATTGGAAATTAAAACAGAAATTTCTTAAATATTTAGTTAATCCCTTTTAAAAAGAAATACATTTCAAGTTAAAAATATTTTTAGAAAAATATGTTCCAAAGCAAAAGCACATTTTAATGAGTGACATTTTACATTTTTGCAAATCTTTTTAATGTGAGGCTTGATAGAAGATTCTGATGTCGGCATCTGTACTGTTTGTCACAATATGTCATGTAGTCTGGAAAATTCTACTGCATACTCATGACAGAATGAGTGAAAAAAAGCAAATACTCAGTAATACTACAAATATATTATGAAATGGGCTATATTTTAGAAGCGCTTGGTTAGATTATGACTTGAGTTCAGTGGCTGAGATCAAGCAAAGGTCGGGACAGATTCCTGAGAGAGGAGCTGAGCTCCCAGAACTTGGCAACAGGCTTGTTTGCCTAGAGACAGCTGTCCCGCCTGCGGGGTGCGGTGCTGCCCCCTAGGCCACCCCCTTCTCTATCCTCCCTGTCCCCTGGCCCCTTTCTCACAACCACCCCTCCCCCCAAACAAGGCCCAAGTAAGTCATTTTGCTTCTAGTGAGTGGGCTAAGTAAGGCATCTAGAAAGGAAAGAAATGGAATCTAAGTAGGTATGAGTTTGCTTAAGCCAAGAAGTTTTTATCTACCACTGTTAGTTCTCTGCTTCCAAAATCTGGGAGAAAAGGTAGATTCAACCTCTTGAAAACATTTGACAATAAACCTTGAAACAGTTGAAAAGGAGTTGTCAGTGCAAGGACGAAGGTGGCCTGTATTTGCCTAGTGTTGCTGAGATGTATGATTTCAGGTTCTGTGATGCCTTTCTCCAGCCAAAAACAGTATGCCAAAATTGACTGGTAAGGTAATCACGTGACATTGTATGTATTCTTATTCCAATGATGTTACAGTGGATCAAAATAATTTTGGATCTTCTAGAATATTTTTGAAGACTCAGATGTGTTTTGTAATATTAGGAATCTCTTCCCTATCTGCCTCCATGAGTAGGCCAAGAGCTCCTAGAAGGTAAGGGCCCTATTTACATGTGAAACAGCACAAGCACCTGCTGCTCTACTGGAAGCTTAGTGAGTTGGTATGAAGGACATTCCTCAGGAAGTCTCAGTGTGACCCATCACTATCCAGAAGTCTTCAGATTCCTTGTTCTTGCTTTAGCACCTGTGTTTAATTTAAAATGCGTCCTTTGCTACTGATCATTGTTATCTCAAGTAGAAAGTAGCCATCCTTCTCAAAATTTTAAGACCCAGGAAATGATTCATATATCAGCTTAGAAGTTTATGTGCTATTTTTCACCTTCCAAAGAATGTGGTGGAAAGGAAAAGGCAGCCTCTTGTCTTCACCGAGTCAGGGCCAGGGGACTTGATTGGTGACTTGGTACACTGCTCAGAATGGCCTCAGGACGCTGCTCTGTGGCCCCAGGTAACTCTCTGCAGTGGTATTCAGATAGGTGTGCTGTTCCGGCTACTCTGGACGGCTCAGCTAGGATTTCTCAAGTGACTCCTGTAAAGAGTCACTTAAAACCAAGTGAGCCCATCTTGTGTAGCCATGTAGAATGTCCTCAGATATTGAACATTCAACCTGGCTTATAAGTATGTCTTCTGGTTTTTTTGTTTTTAATTGAGACATTGATTTGTTACTCTGCTTACTTATGTATGCACCCATTGGTTGATTCTTCTATGTGCCCTGACCAGCAATCTAACCCACAACCTTGGTGTATCAGGGTGACACTCTAACCAACTCAGCTACCCAGCCAGGGCTCTTCTGGGGTTTTTTAATTTTCAGTTTTGCATCTTGGATGTTAGCAGGATTTGTCTTGAGACTTTGAAAAATCCCCAACTTGTCCTCTAGTTTCAGCTTCCTTACCTTCTCCCACACTTGCATTGAACCTTGTGCTCTCTTTTATGTCCGCTGTCCCTTAACCACCTTCCCCACTTTCACATGAGCAGCTTTTCCATTCACTGGAGCCTCTGCACAAGGCTTCCCCAGGAAACTGGGACTATTACTACAACAAAGTCTTGGCAGCTAGTGGCTTTTCTCTACAGAGGCACATCCTGGATCCGAGCTATAGTTAAATTCTATTCTTAAAATCCAGCCTCTTTTTCTAAGAACTGACAACTTCTCACGTGTTTCCCTCCCATCACAAGCGCGGCCGCTGGGCTTTTTCTATCCTCTTGCTCCATGACTCACCCCCAAACATCCTATCGCCTTACGAGTTATTGTGCTTATAGGACTAGAGAATGTTACTACACCAGGCGGAGATGTGGAGGCAGCGGAGTGGCCGAACCTACTAGCTAATGACCCGAACACCACAGCCCTGGGCCTACATCTGAGCTTCAGTAAAATGACAAGACCTCACACTTTGGAGCTTAAGAGTTGCTCAGGTATAGTCAAAGGCACAAATGTTTGTTTAATCTGTAAGTGACAGGCAGATTTCCGGTAATATTTTGTGTGGCTGAAGGTAGGGAGCCACTTTGGGAAACGCTGCCAGGCCAGGAGATTGCTTCTGGTGCCCCTCGGGTCTCAGAGCTGGCCCTAGGCCATTGCCGGAACATTTCCCACCACGTCAAGCTCGAATCCAGGCTGATTCAGGACAAGCAGGTGCATTTTGCGATCTGAATAGACTCTGGGATGGGAGGCAGGCAGCAGGTGGTAAATGTAAACCTGACTGAAAATGTATTTGCCAGGGTTGTCTGATGCCCAGAGCTGAGCTTGTCTTTTACAAACTGGTTTAACAAAACGTCGAACATCGAAGGGAAGGCTCTGCTAAGAGACTGAGGAAGAGGAAAGAGAAAATGGCCATGCAAGTTAGGGGTTGCCTTTAGCTCTTTGAGGAAGACCTTTAAATGGAAGGGCCCAATCACCCTCCAAGACTAAACACACGAGACACGGCACAGGACAGGAAAACCAGTGACTTACGCCCCGGCCCGAAGACAGGGAAAGCCTGAGCCGCAGGAGCTCAACCTGGCGGTGCAGCTGGTGAGCCTGCGGCCCGGGGGGGGGGGGCCGCCAGCCCAGCTGCTGCTCGTGCTGCTTTCTGTGACCACGTCCCCCTCACTGCCCTGCCTCACCCCTCCCCTTCTTAAAGAATTGAACTCTGATGCTCCTGTCGGTGTGTATTGTATACCTGGTACACCCCCCACCTTAGAAATACCTCTTTGGAGCAACTTCAGTGAGATACGTCCTTCTCAGCCTGCCTGCCTGCCTGCCTCTGTACTGCGGTGAGTCACGGCCTTAGTCCTTCTGCTGCTTGGATTTCTTTTAAAACAGGAAACATGCATGTTCTACCAGAAGTTGCTGGCAAATTTGTTCCTTCAGGGAACTACAAAATTAGAGCTGTACAGAGAAAGGAGGCGATCATTTCCAGCCACCTCCTGTGTCCTGTAGAGAGCTGCCCCGAGCCCACACTAGACCAAGTCCATCAATGCTCCCAAGAATGAGAAAGGAATTGCTTGCCCCCAGCCAGCCCGAGGCGTGGCTAAACGAACCGCAGAGCATCAGAACTGCTTACAGGTCGGTGAGGCTGCCCTCCTATTTCAAAGCATCAAAAATTTCAACCTTCCTGACTCTTAAGTTGGTAATTGTTGAAGCTAGGGATGTGCACACACGTAGGGTTCGTAGGGTTTGCTCTATTAGTGTACCTTTATAGATGTTGAAACTACTCAATTTTCTTCTAATTTCCAAGCCTCTGACGTCTGTAGCCAGGAATAAGCTCCATCATTGGGGCGTGGAGTTCTATCAGCCAGAACTAGAAACAGGACTCCCTATCTTTTTCCTTTTACTCAGGGGGGACACTGGAAGCTCATGTTTCCCACCTGCTAAAGCAGGGCTCGCAGCCCCTCTGCCAAGGAGGCCCATAGCTCACAGCCTGTGGCTGTGAGTTGGTCCCAACGACTAGTTTCTGGCTTGCTGAAAAACGGCCTGCCCAGATGGGACCTCCTGCCCTGCACCGGGCTCCTAAGCCAGCAGGTATCATGACAGATACAAAGGGAGACAACCCAGAGGCTGATGAGGAAACTTAGTTGCAGATGTGAGGTGCTAGATCTGAAGAGACTGTAACCTCATCATCCCTCCATGGGGCTCTGTGCCAGACCGATGTCTATATTAGACACCCTGCCTGCGCTCACCGGGCAGCTGCCTCAGCACGCGGGTGCCCCCCAACTTCCCAAACACAGAAAGCCACAAACCCACAAATGTGCAGGTCCTCTGCGGGGAGGTCAGGGAAGGGGGTGAGCTAAGCGGAGCTGTGTGCAGTTGAAAGGATGTAGGCTTTGGTTGGCTCACCCTGACACTTGGTATCAAGGGCACAAGATTGTTGTGTAGGGATGCTTTGATGGCCACAAAAGTAGAATGTGCTATTTGCAACTTTTGCCTCATAAAGTTACCTGGAAGGCAAGGTCTGATAATGCCCCAAGGCTGTGGAACACTTCGGTGGGATTCTGCCATTGGCATCAGAGGCTGGCGTGACAGCTACAACTTGTCTACAGAAGCTCTTCCAGCCATCGTTTGCTCCAGGTGTTGAAGCAGCTGCATTTAAACATGTGAGGGGTCGCCCCCATCACTGGCTTCTGTAAGGTGGTTTCGTCTCACTGAAGCCCTGGCTGGGCTCTCCCAGGGCTGACACATCAGGACCCTTGACTGCTTCACACTGTGGATACAGGTCCCTTTAGAGTGCAGGGCTCTGCTTTAGACTCAGGACCACAGGAGCCAGCGGCTGAGCTTGAGAGAATTCAGAAATGTAAGAGTATCGAAGATTTCACTCAAGGAAAAGTCCCTTGTCGCCCACGTTCCGGGTCTTGGCTAAGTAGGAACTGAAGAGCCTGTGAGCGAGACACGCCTTTCCCACATCCTGTTTTGGCCAGGGCCACCAATGCGTGATTCTTCTGTCGGGAATATCGTTGATAGAACTAAGAACAGAACTCATGGCTTTACCTTAGACTTTGCAGTTATTCGTCTAGAAGCATCTTCCCCTTAATATCACTAACTCACTTTCACTTCCTTTACATTAGAAGCTTCTGCTCATGCGCCTCACAGGGGAATGCGGAAGGGGCCAATCCCGGAAGTATTCTCAGCTCTTAGGGACAATGACCTAGTCACTGCGTTTGGACAGCTCTTCCTTCCTCTGGCACAGTGTTCCTGGGGTGTATCTTCTTTCATCCCTGGTCCCTTCTTGATATCCAAGTAAAGGAGTTGTTAGGCCATGAAATTTCATTAGCAGAGATTTGGCAGGACCCTCATCACCAGAGACGACGATGCTTACACAACACTCTATTCCGAGCACTGAGGGAAGTGTCATCACTTAAAAAAGAGATGAGCTGCCAGGTATAAAAGCAGCAAGACCGTGTCTGCCTGCTCTGCAGTGACATTCCCACCACGCCCAGGGCACTGTCACACAGCCCATGCGTGGCTCCAGGACAGGAATTTGAGTTTCCTTGTCTGAAGATGGCACCAAAAAGAGCCTAAGTGTATCCAAGGGTTTCACCACTCGTTCCCTGTGTCTGGCAGGACGAGTTTTGTCTGCGAACACACTGGCACACGTACACACCACCATCAGGCACTGGACCGGGTAAAGGAAGGTCTCATCCGGACCTTAAGATACTGAGCTCATGGCTTGTTTACCTTCCCTGGTCTCTCTAGTTCCCTTATCAACAGTGGGAAACTTGAGGAAGAAAAGATATTACCTGAGCCAGATTCCAGTGGCCGCCTTTTTACACTCATTTAGATAGGCTGAAATGGGAGAATGTTTGGTATTAAAGACTCCATGTATACTCTGGAAAAACAGGCGGCCTTCCAAAGGATTGCTTTACCCAAATGGAAAAAACAAAACAAAACACTGACCTAAGCTTTTGGGTCAGTGCTGAAAAACCTTAACTGTCCGGTAGGTTTTAAGAGGCTAATTTTTTCCCTAACAACTGAGTATTTCTGGTCATTTGCCCTCTTTCATATTACATATGTTGGGCTTTTAGAGAAGCAACCATTTATCTGTAAAGGCAGGACTCCTTAAAATTGAAACAAAAAGCCCCACCAAATGTTTGTTTAATTACATCCAGCTCTGAAGGGTGTGTTGTTTCCATGAGAAGACAGTGCCGTGGGTGCACAGGGGCCTAATGACACACCCTCCCTGTGCCCAGTGATTAAGAACCTGCAGGTTCTCCTAAGGAAGCAGTGCTACTTAAAACAGGTCTCGCAAGGGACAACTAGTGGTTGAATTTTAATAGTTTAAAAAAAAAAATCACGTTTAAGACCTAACTCCTAAAACATGAACAAACTGTTTTTAGGTAACTAAATTTTTAAAAATATCAAGACTTTATTGGATAAATGTTACACAACATTCTTTAACATTTATGTCTCAGCATACTTTAGATGAGAAACAATTTTTGTCATTCAAGTCTACAAAATGAAATAGGCTTCTGAAGATTTGAAATACAGACAAAGGTAGCATGAAGCAAAGCTTAAATATTAAGCAACTAAAGCAATGAAAGTGAAATAGCAACATGGTATATCTAGATTTTTAAATACCACTAAATTTCATTTTTTTTTAAATGAAAATCTGGTTTATAACAAAACACCCTTGAGAATTTGTCATGAAAAAAAATTAGATATTTAAAACCTGATCTCTCAATTCTTTTGCCTTTATCTTACTCCGTCACTTCCATCACTCTGAACAAATAATTCTAAAGCTTAATTAAAACTCTTGATATACCCCAGTCCACCATGACTTGGGGGTTGTCTGGTTCTTGAAGGGAGCCTGAAAGGTACTGCTGGTGTTAATACAGCTGAGGGACAGGGTGGACCTACGCCAAGGCCCCAGAGCTACGGAGTCAGGTGCCGCTGAGGGACAGGTACTCTTTAGGCTCCCGCTGGTATAGTTCCTGAGCTTTTTCACATGTATACTGACTTCATGATAAATACTTTTCCAAAAAGACAATTTTAGAAAGCCATCAAAACTTTTAATTACTTACAGTGTAATCAGGATTTGCATTCAACTCACAGAAGCAAGACTGCCTACCTTTTCTTCCTGATTTGTAAAACAAATCCTTAGTCGGGTATATTAAATATTCTAAGACTCTCACCCAGAACCTTTTAAGCCTGAGTGTGGAGTTAAGTGATTCCAAACCTGCACAGTAAGATTATGGAAAGTTTAAACATTTAAGCCAAATGCTCAGTTATCTGTTACATAGCTTCAAATGAATTGTTTTTTTGGCATTTTTTTTTCTTTTTTTGTATTAAGTAATCAATAAGGATTATCTTTCTGGTTTAAAAAATAAATCAAGTATTGCCACTAAAAAACTTCAGTTTTATTATTATTAAAAGTACGGCACCATCAAATATAAAATGCCTTAAAAATGTGGTACTAACAGGTCAATCTGGTTTTCTCGTTTTCTCCACTCATTAAAAAAGAAAAATTACTTTTTTTTTTAAATATGTATTTTCCAAAGATAGAAACATTATGGTCTCCATTAATAACATGCTCTATTCATGGAAAGCCTGTGCCACTTTACGGGTCTGTTCCTGCGGCTGCTCGTTCCTCAGGGTCAAGGCCCACCTGACACCTGTCAGAATCGCGTGCACTCAGATGGAAGGAGGGGCTCTCTGCAGGGAGAGGGCCACATCAGAATTCAGATTTGTCACCATTTCTGATCTAGGTAAAATTAGTAATGACAGGAAAAATAAAAGCCTTTCCAGCTCAGTAGATTGAAGAACTAGCTCTCAGAGTAGACATTTCCACTCCAAGATCAACACTAGCCTATCTACTTTGACTCAGAATTTAAAAATGTGTAGTTATGAAAATGTGCACAAAATGTTAAATACTGGTGGCAAATAAATACATCTTAATATGTTCTAACAAGCAAACATATATTCAAGGTAATACAGCCCTGCCTTATCAAAGAAAGAAAAGATCCAAATTTTGGGGGGTTGGGGGGCGGGTACCTTGCCATCCTTTCAGTACAATGTCAACTCTTTCCTGTCGTTTCCACGGGCGCCCTGAAGGGGACACTGGCCTCGGCATATGCGACTACTCCAGTGTCACAGGCGCGCCTTTTCAGAAACGCCTTTGCTCATATCTGAACTGGGTAACATAAACCTTGGAGAAAGCACAGTTTTAGTATGAAAGGTAATTCAACATTTCTGCCATCATCCCATGCCATTTAGGCCTGTCCAAGCTACTCTGATAAGAACTTCATGATCAAAAGAAGACTGTCAGTGATTCTTCGTACATAAAATTCAATTGAGTCCGCTGTATGTGTATTTCACATCACTCTTCTCCTCATCTCATGCATAATTTATTGCAATAGTTTATATTTTAGAAACTAGTCCCCTAATACCTTTTCTTCGGTTTCATACAGCGCAGTTTGCAGGTGCCCCTTTAGAGACAGTGGGTTTCAACCGCTGCCTGAACATCTGACTTAGTGCAGCTTCAAACTCTGAGTCTCCCGTTTCATTCGATCCTGGTGCTTGGGGGTCCTCTGTGCCACTGTGGGACAGGTCCACGAAACCAGCAGCCTGCTAATGTCTTTGTGCTGAAATAGAAGAAAATGAAGGTAAGCCCAAGTAATTATATGAGAAAAGTGATGTCCTTGTTTAAATTAAGCCCTGTATAGATTGTGGGATCACACCTGATTTTTTTCTTTTAAATTAGTTAAACTTCACCAAATTTTTTTTTTAAACCACTTACTGCCACTCTAAACCAGGAGAAGCAATCATTTTTTCTGAAGTCTACCTGGACAACACAAATAAAATGGTTGTCATCTTCACATAATCAATCTGCACTTGAAAACTTCCAGTGAAAAGCGATTGCAGCTTTGTTCCGTATACTGCCGTTTCACAGGTTACACGGCCAAGCTCTGGGAGTCAGCTTAGCTGCTGTGCACTGCAAGGAAGTACCAGCAGCCTTCCTTTAGCATGGGCTGCTGGTACCTACCTAAAGGCAGGCTTAAGAAGGAAATTTATATAAAAAAAAACCCCGGCAACATAAAAATTGGCTGCAGATCACACTGTCTGCACATGTGCAAAGGGCAAAAAAAGAGGAGGGTAGGGGGTACCTCTCCAGAGGTAGACACAGCACATCAGAAGGCCTCAAGAGCACTGCTTCACTACTGGAAGACAACTTACACACACTGGCTAGACTGACCATAGACGGCCTTGTTGAACAAGCAAACATCAGCAGAGGCGCTCTATACCAGACCTCCAACAAAAAGCAGGCCTCTGAGCAGAACATTTAGAAAGGACAAGGCTTATGAAAATTACTGCTAAATAGCATGACCAGAATGCTTACCATTCGGACCTCCCTTAAATACGAAGAAGTGGTAAGAACTCCATCGAAACCCTCTACAATTGCTGGGAACCCAGGTATCAATAAGCATTTGAATGCCAAAAAGAGGTGATCCATAAAGAGAACAATGAGTTTTTTGGTCAGGTGTATTTTTAAACCAAAGATACAGCATTTTCAGTGGAGTAACAGACAAAACAAATTCCCATCCTTCCCAATATTCACAGTAGCCCTCTTTCCTTTACCCAAACTCTCTTTCCAGGTTTACTTCCAACTGCTGACATGCCTCCTTCACTTACTCGATCAAGACCTATAAATACATTTCACAGGGTGTCCTATCATGTTCCTTCTCAAGCAATGAAAAATTAGCTCTAGCCGTAATACAGCAACATCGGAGTGGAAGGGGAATGCAGTCCTTGCTTCTGAAGAACGAGAATGATTAACATTTTCAAAATGTGACATTCTGCTAAGGAAAGTTTTTATTTTCTAAAACTATTATACTAACATAACATTACAATTTAAACTCAGAACTTTGGTAATAAATACCTCACTGTAAGTTGAAGGAGAAAAATAATAACTAGCCAGTCCCGTGTACATTTCTATTTATGACTGTCAATATCTGGCTTCAACCTGAGTCGGGCCTACGCAAGCTGGCAGGAAAGCCAAGGATTGAAGCAGGTCATGCTATTTATATAGCATATTGAGAGGTGCAGAAAACTAGACACTGTTCCCTCAAGAGATCATTCTAACGGTAGCTGCCACCCCTATACAGGTAAGAATCCACAATATCCCAGGCTCCACCTCTGATCCAAAATGTGCCATTCTGACCCAGGTTGCAAATTACAGCTCATATGCAATGATGCAGCCCAATTACAGCTCCTCACTAGCTGCAAACACCAGAGGCTTAAATAGCCTTGATTCAGGGAAGCAAAAAAAGATCACAAATTCAAAAACAGCACAAAAGAATCCCTAATGCTTCCTTCTATGTAAGAGCCCAAAATAAGCCTTTTAGGCATTATCCAAGGTTTTCATAAACGTGCTTAAATAGATTACAGCCACATTTCCACACTCTTGCCACCCTCTGAGTTTTGTAAATGACAATGGGTTTGAGGTTAATTCACTAAGAATATATACGTTCATATATATTCTTATAGGAACATTAAGAAGAAATGATTCTTAAAGTAATGACTATAAAAGTTACAAAGAAAGACTGAGATAGTGAAAAGATCAAGAAATCCCCTATTTGACTCCAGGGAGGCTCAGGTGCTATTTGACATAATTCTACAATCTGACCCCCAACCTCTTCCGCCGTAGGAAAAATTCCTCTCAATGCATGGACTGGGAGGAGGCTGGCTCTGCCCTTTTAGTACAGCAGGGATAGCAAAGTAAAAGTTATTGTCACTCATTAGAACGATCACCTAATGATGAACACGCAGCTACCAATGGAAGCTAAGGAAAAAGAACTAATGGATTCTTGGCCGGCTAGCCTAATCTACTTCGGGAATGATCGAGTGATGACATGGTGCCCTCTTCACTTTGCGGCAGGGCTTAGTACAGACAGACCTGCCCGTTTCACTGTTAACTTCAATGCTCCCAGTCTGAATCCACAGTGGTCTGTCAGACACTGTAAGGGAGCAGCAGGATTCGTCACTGTCTGATGTAATAGCTGCCATTTGTTGAGACCTATGGTAGAAAAAACCAAGTTAACAAAAGTAGAGAAGTCATTTGAGTTCTTTTTAATCCATTTTACAAAAAAAATTTAAAAATAAGACCAAAATTCCGTTGAATTTTCATAATGAATTTATTTTACATAACTTGCTGGCTTCACAAAATGTGAAGCTTTGGCTCGAAGGGAAACAGACTTGAGGTGTACACACCAGCCTTGGCCAGGAGAGGGCACTCTCCGGCCCAAGTCAGTTCAGCAGCAAACCGCCTCGAGCCACAACCAAGATGCTGCCTCGCATTTAATGTTCCCGACAAAAAGAATTTTCACTAACCTAACGGTAGCCTAGTACCGGAAAAGTCCTGATCTTAGTACTCAACAAGGGGTGAAGTCATCATCCCTATGCGTCACAACACTAATGAGACCCTGTTTTGCAGAATGACCAAATGTACCTGAATCCCTTTCTCATCTAATGCCAGTGACCACCTGTGCATACTATTCAGGACCTGAATTACTGCGTGAGTTAACATCTGCCGGAAATAAGTTTGAGAAGATAAGCTTTCTCACTTAGGCTTTCAGCACAGAGACTTCCAATACTAAGCATAATTCAAAGGAAATATTACTATTTTAAGATTTTAACATACTGTATTTGCTAGCCTGCTTAACTCCCTACTTTTAAGTATAAATAAAAAATCACCTATCACACATCACTATAGTAACTCTGGGGTCACTGAGTTAGATAATGTTTGGTCCTTATAATTATTTTTAAAATGCTAAGTTAAATCAGAAGCAGTAGTATATGAACAAATCTTTTAAAAAGGCTTTTCTGACACTGAAAAGGAGAAATTTTATACAACTAACCTATAAACATAATTTTGAATTTTAACAGCAATTTTCTTAAATGAAGCTTAACAATGAGGTTCTTTACCTTTTTGTTCATGGGAAAACTAAAATATACTACTCTAACGGAGCAGCAATCACACAGAGAAGAAAAGGAATCTGAATGCACAAGAGATTTTATCTTTTGAACCTCTGTCTCCATAAGTAAAACCTGTTAGGTCTCAACAATCATTCTCAAGCATCTCCTTCGTGATTCTAGGCAAGAATCAAGAAGCTGCAACAAAGAATGGTCAACTTTCCCTGTGCCTTTCTCCCTACACTCCAGAGCTTGGTTCATGAGTCATTTGTGCTAATGCTGAAGATGAAGTTGGGGTCCCAAGGTTTTTTCCCAGAAACTGACCACACCTGTAAGATCCATTAGAAAAAGCCAGGGAGCCCTGATGGTGATTCAGTAAACGAAGGGACAGCCTCATTAAAGCGATTTCACTGGAATTATTTATTTTGTCCATTAAGACAAAGCTAATGTCTAACAGTGGCAGCTATTTATTCCTGGGAGGCAGCAGAGATACGAAAAGGACAACTCAGAACAGGATAAGTAAACACTCAATCTCCCTTTTAGAGCACATGAAAGATGGAAGTAGATGATGTCAGGCTCTTAGAGCATAGCCCAGGTGGGAAAACTAAAGAATTGAGATTATATACACGTACCTATTAGTTTGCTGAACACTCAACATAAAGTTTCTCTTCATACAACATAGTACACTAAAAGATGAACAAGCAGGAAAAAGCATGAACAGTGCCTTGCTTTACAATAGACATTCTGATTTCCAGCCTTGGTACTATTTTCCCAACCAGTTATTCTTCCAAGGTTTTACAAACTGAGCACAGGTCTTTCCAGCATACCAGGAGTCACACCTAGATGTGCCGCTCCAAGCCAGGTTCCCCGCTAAAAGCTAAGTGTGTGGAGGAAAAATCACAGGTTTGTTATCAACAGCATCTGAAAAAATGAGCCATGACTAAAAATGACTACCCTCTGGAAAATACGGCCACAACGCACACAGATCAAGGCCTTGGAATGCAAAGTATTTTCCTCCTAGAAAGGGGAAACCATCTCCTACTCAATCATACCAATAGCAACAAAAAAATAAAAGGAAATGTCTAAATTAATGTACACTTTTTACCATTCAGCAAAATATCATTAAAATAAAAAAACACCAGGGTCCCAGAGGAACACAGCATCTATGCAAACCAGTGCGTTTACACTAAGACCTGGCGAGGGTAGCCTTGTGGTTCTAATCCCTTTGGAAAGCTCTCCTAAGAGGACGACCTCCACTCCACTGAACCCCAGCAGCTCACACTCAGGTCTCTGAAAGGCTGTGGGGTGTGCCCGGATCCTGGAATGGTGATTGGGCATCATGTCAGTGTCCGGACAGCAATCACTCTTCCTAAGCAACAAGTAGACCATCATTTCTGCTATGTCAGGTCCTATGCTTGGTCTACGGGAGGGTCAAGTTGGCAAGCAACAGACTCCTGAATTTATGCAATACATAAGGGCACGGGGCAAGTGCTGGAATGTTAATGCACTTCTCCCTTCACTGCAATTCCCGTGGCCTGCAACCCAGATGCCCTCCACAAATGCCTGCTGGGAGTAATTCATACCTACTTCTAGGTATTTATGGAGGACCACCCTATGATTACTGTAATTTCCATATAACGTTGCTGTAACATTTTTTTTCATTTACACCAAGTATGTTGCAGAATAGTATCAAAAGCTACCTGAATGAAATTTTGATGCCATGCAGAGAAAGTGGTGGCTGTGGTAATGATAGGAAATATTTATATGGGTCTTGTACTGGACACTTTGCTTTAAATATTTGAATGAGTAATTACCTTATGAGGAAGTAAGAATACTATTATTTTCCCTATTCCACAGGCAATGACATTGAGTAACCTAAGGTCACACAGTTTTTAAGTGACAGACCCCTCTGAATCTTGGAAATCTGGTCAAGAGCCTGTATTTTCAACTTTGTGTCTGAAAAATGGAAGAGGATGACTTTGCTCAAGGAAGGCCTGGTATCAAGCACTGCTGGTACCAAAATGTTAATGAGTGCTCCAACTCACCAGCATTGCTGACACGTTATATACTCCTAACTCTCAATCTCTACCTTTTTACATTCAACACGATGACCCTCACACTTCTACAAAACATTCTCCCCAAGCAAAAAACAAATTCTTTTATATTTTATGGAGGGGCTGGTGGCAGTATTATTCTAGGCTTTTTCAATAGCTTTTAGGTGAATCTTTGTGCTGAATAGAACTGAGGGACAGAGGATTACAAAATTATCTTAAATATTTTTTAAAAGACCTTGCTAAAACTTGATATGCAGTATAAATGTAAACTTTTTAGTTTGTGTGAAACAGAAAAAAAGTGTGATAAAAGCCCAACACTTTAGGTGTGTTTAGAAGGTTCAGCTGTGTATTTACATTTCTCTTCTAAATACTGACTCTAGGGTAGAAAAAATTTTTAGTAAGTTTTAAATCATGATTTCTGGTTAAGACTCAGATTTCTAAGGCAATAAAAGATCAACTGTCACATTCTTATTATACAAGGAAAATTTTTAAAAAATCTAACTCATGTTTAAACCAAGTTTTAAGGCTGTTTTCAAACTGGCCTGTTTTCAACATCAGAGTTTTAAGAAATTGTTTTACAAGTGTCCAACAGAAGAAGGCCCATAAGCTAGACAATGTAGACTATAAACATCTCAATTATTCAGTCAGAAAATGAGAATTTGATTGACAAATTCATTATTTTGATAAATCCTGATAATTTTTGAGTCCAGTTTCTTCTCTTCCTTTATACCTCCCTGCAACCAATCTTTAATTTGTGCCAGAACATGAGAATTTATAAGTAAGAAATTCAAGTTTCACAGTTAGTGTTTTCAAAGATTAATTAGATGCATTAAAATTTTATTCCATTTATCCCAAGATGGATTTAAAGATGTAGTATAAAAATTCAGTCTTTCCTACCACAGTGTGGTACAGAAGATGATCTTAGAATTGTATTTTAATAGTTATCTACGTGTCAAGGCACATTTGTTTTCCATTAGTAGTAGACATAAAAAATGGAAAGTATTAAACATAGAAATTTTAAAATATGGGGAAAATGTGATGCTATGTAAATAAGTTTTGGCATCTATTTAATTTTATAACAAATAAATGGTTTCCATATTCATAGATTTATCCAAAACAATTTTTTCAGCACTGAGAGATAATGGTTTTAACCTAAAAACCTACTCTTAAAGAGTATTTAATGGGTAAATGCAGTCATGCTAATTCACCTAGAAATTTTACCAAGAGGCAGTTCCAGTTCTCAAAAACAGGAGCACTATTAGCACCGAGCAGGACTGCGGGTGAGGAGGAAGGGATCCTGGGAGCCAGGCTGCCAGTAGCATGTCACAATCTGTGCCTGACCAAGAAAAACACTCCTGTGCCTTAATTTCCACACACCTTCTAGAATAGCATCCCAAATTGAAAAGATTTCTATCAAAACCCAAATTACAGTGCCCTGGGAGCCCAGTTGGTTAGAGTGTCGTCCCGATTCGCCAAGGTTGCAGGTTCAATCCCCAGTCAGGGCACATACAAGAAACCACCAATGAATTCATAATCAAGTGGAACAAGTCCATGTTTCTCTCCCTCCCCTTTCCTCTCTATAAATAAAAATTAAAACAATTTTTTTAATTAAAAAAATTACAGACGGATGGTGGCGATGGTTATGCAATGTGAGTGTAATGCCATAGAACTGTACATTTTAAGTAATTAAAATGATAAATTTGAGGTTAGATATGTTTAAAGACATAAAATACAGAAATAATTACAGGGCTCTATTAATATGACAAGGGAAAAATTTCCATCTAAATTCACAAGGAAACTAAGGGGAAAAACTCATTGAGTCCATAAATGTTAAGTCTCTTACCTTAGTAAAAATTTTTCTAAAAGCATTGAACTGTTTCTCTTCTTAGTGTCAATTATCTATGAGAGAGACGCCAAGGCATCTTGGAAAACTAAAACTATATTGACCATGTGTATCACTACAACTTTCAACTTCCTATTCTTTTATTCAAAATAGCATATCAGAATATTAATTGCTAAAGCTTTCACTTTTTATTTCTATTCCTTTTGTTGAAGAAATACAGTAAGTGTTACACAACTCTAAATGCAAAACATGAAGGGCCTATTCACCAAGTCAGAACTAGGCGAAAGTAATTAGTGCAGCTTCGCTGTTTCACTTTCTCCTGGCAACAGGCATGGCACCAGCCTCTTGCTCCATTTCTGAAGTCCCTGTAGCAGGCATTTCAAAAGCACCCACATTAATATAATCCCAAAGCAAACCCTAAATTTGCCCTAACTTAAAGATAGGGTCTCACTGTCCCTGCAAATTCCATATTGGAGGGCATCACCTAACCCAACCCAAAACACCCTGAATCAAATGGCACTTAAGACATTTGCCAGTCTCTTCTCTATGACTACTTGACAAAAGTGAACCAATGCAGCATAAACCATAGAAACTTTCACAATTTAAGAGGAAAGCTAATTTTTTTATCCAAATCATATTTTCCAAATCCCAATTCAGTTATATAAAGGATATCTGTAAAGGAAATGCAAATATGTATCCTTCCTTCCACAAAACCCGTATTAAGTTCAACCTGCTAAAAGGGCAGCAACTCAGTATTTTATAAATTAGAAACTCACTCACCAGTGTATAGCTGATTTTATAAGTTTTGTATTTTTTGCCTGCAGTCCTATATCCTGTCTATTCTACTTAGCACTAATATTAAATTACTATCTAGTTTTTCTCATCAAAAACCACACTCAGCAGGCCTTGGTTGGGTGGCTCGGCTGTTTGGAACATCTTCCCATATACCAGGAAGATGCAGGTTCAACACCAGTCATAGCCAGTGTGGGAGGCGGCCGTTGGATGTTTTTCTCTTGCCCTTCCTCTCTCCTAAAGCAGTAAAAATCCTCAGGTGAGGATTTAAAAAAGAACCAACACCTCAGGACACACTATCAGGCAATGCAAATAGGCTTCAGACTACATCTTTTAGGTATCTGGTTCCACATCTATAAATGGGCTGAACAGGTCATTCTAAATGAAGTCAGCTTTCTAGTCTACAAACCGTAGAAAATGAAAAGGGAATAATACTCTCACAAGTTAAATTTCTGGGAATTTCTAGAATTCACTTTTGGCTTTGACTGCTCTTACTTGGTTTTAGCCACTTTTCTTAACCACTGGAGACCTGGCCCAAGCCTAGTTTTCTCTTTGCAAGGGGAAAAAATTACCCATTTGGTTATTTCCATATAAGTAAATGCCTCCTTTTACCATTTTAAAGAAACAAAGGGGTTACAACCCTCCAATTCTACTCTAGATCTGCAAATTTATCTAGCTGCTTAAGAAGTTTCTATTTCAACAAGACATTAATATAGAGCTATTACTGGATTAGTGTTCACTTCTTTAAAACTTGTTTCACTATTGAAATTTCAAATGGAATATGCCTGACTGCTGATTTATAACGGAGAGATCATTTTACATAGTTGGAGATCATGCACATTTGTGATTATGCTTCTTTGCCTCAAAGGCATGGACTACATAAAATTGAATGTCATTTTTCTACTCAACATCCATGACTATTTCCTTTTCTTCCTTTCTATGGCTTCTGAAACCAATGAAATTTGGTTTATGTCACAAGAGCACATTTGCCAAAGCACTCGACTATATCAGCAATATCAGATACTGTCAAAACCAAGATGTTAAGATAAAACTCACCTGGATCATTACAGGAAGGCTTGGAATTAATATTCTAGGTGACTTTTTGCTCTGCCTTGTTTAAATCTGAACCTTAGATCAAACTTTCAAAAATATCTTAACAAGTTCATTAATCTGAAACAAATATTTGGTCAATCTTTTAAGATACTTCCTTAAAACTCCTCAATCATAATGTGAACTTCTTTCAACCTGTTATCAGAAAAATTTTTGTATACTTGTTTCTGTTTGCAGGAAAGAATATGTTCAAATGAAACATCTTGTTTTTTTTCCCAATTGTGTGTTTATTATTATCAAAAAGCATTGACTCAGTTCCCCAGAAGAAATTCTACTTCCTTTTGCAGAAATCAGAACATAAGTCATAGGAGTCCATAACCTTCAGGGAGCTGACAGAAGACTATTGGTTTTAAATCTCCATTAATCTTTTAATCATTAATTCCATAGTATCTAATGTATTTCAAACTGGATTACTTAGAAAGCCACAAAAAATTGCTCTAGTGTTAAACTGACATAATATTGAGTTTAAAAGTTAGACACAGAAAGTATGAAAGGAACTTAATCTTTGGATAAACTTGCCTTTCATAGGCAATCTGATCTGTTTTTCACTAATACAAAGCTAAAAATGGAAAATAAATCAAATCTTAGGGACACATGGACCATGTAGAAAAATAAGCTAAGTTACCAGCCCCAAAAGCAATGATACTTGAGGCAGAGGACCAAGGAGAAGAGACTGGTTGTAATTACCCAAATATTAAAAAAGGAAGCATGTAATGAAATATTAAGGCTAACATTGAAAAAATTAAAACCCATACATTTATGAGAAACTGGCAGAAGGGTTTCAAATCTATAAGGGTATATCAGACCTCTGTACTACAAAACTTCATTTTAAGCATATTATCTATGCTCGGATACTATAGTCTGTGATAGAGCAAGAAAGTTTGATTTTTCACCTCCTCTACACAATTACAAAGAATAATTTTCTACCATCTTGAAATTTTTCAAAGCTTTTTGAGAAACACACACAAATAATTTGGATTTAGTCGATTTTATTTACAATTGTGTTTTTACATCAGAGCATTACACAATTACATTTCTCATTTTCTGACCTGCAAACAGATACCTTAAACGGAAATTTTTTTAAATTATCAAATTAGGTACATCCAAAATGCAACAATTACACATATGACAATTAATTCACAAAGTGTAATTCATCAGGACGTATCCTAAGAATTTAGGAACAGCCAGTCAGGAGAAATCTGACCAAATGTAGCAATAAACTATGTACATATCCAAAGACAAACAAACCTATCTGAACTCCCAAACCAGAAGTCTGAAAGTTTTCGTTAAATCCCCACTGAACAAAAGAGAGTGATGACTCAAACCTAGCCGGCCTTGACGGTCTTAGTCCCAAACACTGGGCCACCTCCCTGGTGCACAGCTGAACAGCAAGCATCTCAGTCTGGCACACACCTTAGTAGCCAGCTCTTTCGCCATTATGCCCACAGAAAAGCTAAGTGTTCATTCATTAAAAAACAAGTAGTCATTAAATATCCACACTATTCCCCCAATTCACCAGCCCTTACCGCAATCCCAAATATGCAACCTGTGTCACACAGTGACAGGTTATACTGTATTTAAATATAGTATGTATGTATATATACACACATACACACAGTACTAAGTACAAATGGCAATTAATAGTCCCTGCAAAAATTCAGTTTCAGTTGAGGCTATGGCTCCTATGCCTTGGGATGGTTTTAGACTTCAAAACTGAAAAATACTGCTAAACTCTCACTTCCTTAAGAGAAAATTTGATTGCTTGTTCAGTTTAGCTTCTCAATCTAAAAATGGCTATAAGGTTAAGTTTTTATTTTAAAAAAGCAGCCAACTGAGTGTAATTTCTCTCCCCAATTTGGCCACACTATTTCAAAGAAGTTACTCCTCACTAGACTAGAAAACCTGTGGCGCCTTGCAATGGTTCTTGCCTACCTTACTGTCCATGTTCACGTTTCAAATTGTGTCAACAGAGCCCGTACTTCGGGGGTCAGCTGCTTGGCAGCCTTCGCTGCCTCTGTGATAGCCTTACGATACAGGCCCTTTCTCTTCTTATTAAAACGTGTCTGGAAGTTTTCTAAAAAGGGGGACAGTTGTGAAAGAGCAAGGAAAGATGTTGTTGGAGACCCAAACCATGAAATACGGGCCTCCTGTCGAACTAAGAGGCCGTTATCTTTCCGGCTCACAGTTATAGTAAGAATACGGGCTGGCCACCAAGGGAAGCCATATATCTTGGCCCAAACAATGTCCCCTACACATATGGTCCTGCCATCTGGTGTGACGCATTTAGAGACGTTTTTGGAAAAGACTTTCATTTTCAAGGAATTACTGAGCTTTTTCTCTTCCTTTGAAGAGGAGGATGTGGAGGAGGTGGAAGGTGCATGCATACTGCCTGGAGGAAAATCAAAGCTTTCAGAAGAACTACACTCAGAGTTGGAGGATTTCAAATCATCTGTGCTATCAATGCTACACACTGAAGCACTGGAAGAGTCAGGTTTCTTTTGATTTAGGGTCATGTAAACAGAGATATTGCTTTTGCTGCCCTTTTTGCCCAGTGTCTGTGGTTCATCCTGCTCACCAGGCACAAGCACTTCCTTTGTGTCCTGAACCTCACTGCTGGCCTCTTCAGGGCCTTCTGAGGGACTCTGATTTTCTGAAGGGGCCTCACCTGCTGAGCGGGTAGAGGTGCAACGAGACTGGGGCTTGGGTGCCAGCTTGCCACTCCGCATTTTCTCAAGTCCTGTCTTCAGAGAAGAGTCATTTTCTTCGTTCCTGTACCTTTGTGGTTTTAAACGAACCCGGGGTGGAAGGGAACCTGAGCTAGGATTCTGATACCGACGTGTGAAATGGACTTTTGAATGTGCATTTTTGGATGTAGAGGTTTCACTTTGCTTCTTTTGTGCCTTTTCTTTGGCAATTTTCAACACTTCCCGAGCTTTTGCATGATCCATGTTCTTACTCTGGAGCACTTTTTTAGTACTTAACTGAGCTTTTGATGTATTTGCCTGAGCAGAAACTTTGACTACTCTGCCTCTGCTGTGAGCAATATTTGAAACCTTAACCACAGCATTTCTTTTCTGGCTTTCATTTTGGTTTTTCCCATCCACTTTATGGTCAGTTTTCAGTTTTTTGTTCACAGTAGTTACACTTTCATTTCTCCGTTTTTTATCTTCATATTTAGAAGAGTCACTTGTACTACTACCTTTTCTAATTTCCTTTTTTTCCGCAACAACACTGCTTTTACACTTGTCACACAGGACTTGCCTTGGTCGTAGTTTAATAGCATTCATTATTGAAGTAGGTTCTTCCCTGTACATTTTTCGTTTGGGTCGTTTAATTTTCCGAGGAGGTGGCTGAGGTATTGATTGGTTATATGTGTCCCTGATAAACAAAGGGGGAGGATAAGGTGCTCCTTCATGGAAGAGAGGCGGTGGTTTAGAAGTCCACAAGCTTTCAGCCAGGCTCGGCTCGGGCAGCGGGACAGGAGAGGGGTCATCGGGAACAGCACCATTCACTTCACACTTGACTTCTGTCCCTTCTGGGAATGTGTTACTTTGCAGCTGCATGGCTTCAGGTTTATCCTTATATTCCCTTTTGGGAAATACTGTCACAGGGATCCCATGGGGCCCAAACCTTTAGGAAAAAAAAAAAGAAATGATTAAGTTAATGGCTATAATACAATTTCTTAAACAATATCTAATATTTATTTGCATGACCTTTTCTGAAAATAATTTCGTATTAAAAAAATTATTTCATATTAAAGAACAAATACAAAAACCTACTAACTACCTCCCCCGCAAAATCCCAAAGCCCTCCATATTTTATTGGTTCCACAGTTTAGGTTAAAACAGAAACACTCAAATGGTTGCTCTGTACAGTGCCAGTATATCTGAATTTACTTAGAATAGACCTTTCAAGTATTTAATCAGAAAAGATACCAGATACCTTAATATTAAACATCAGATATTACATTCACTGAACTATATACTCAACACATCCACTAAATGCAATTATAAATTTGCAACATACATTATTCTCCTCTGGTTACAATGGCTTTCAAAAAAGCTTCACAAAACAAATTCAGCCTTAGCTATCCCCAAAATATTGAATCAGTGAAACCCCATCTCTACTAATCACTAAAGTTTCAAAAAACAGTTGTCCTTTTATTCTTGCATCCCAATTCGTAAGCCCTTCATCCACATGAACCCCCACAAAAACACTAGGAATTCGGATACTCAAAAGCAGACAGATATAGAGCTGTGGGTTTCTAACTTCTTTAAATCACATTGCACATTGAGAAATACAGGGTGTAGCCCTGACTAGTATGGCCCGCTGGGTTGGGCATTGTCCAGCAAGCCAAAGGGTTGCCAGCTGGATTCCCGGTCAGGGCACAAGCTAATCGATGTTTCTCTTCACATCAATGTTCCTCTCCCTCTCTCCCTCCTCTCCCCTCTTCAAAACAAAGGAAGGGAAGAGAAGAGAGGAGGGGAGGGAAGTTTATTCTTATATTATAACTTATTAATTATTGTATTTTCCATACAAGCATACAGTTAATGAATAAATTATAATACAGGAATAAACTTTTTCAAGTAATCACAACTGTAAATCTACTTTTGCCCCACCCTGTATTTTCACAGTGCAATCCAATAAAAATGTTTATGTATATACACATGCTTGTATCTATACAAATATAAATACACACTTTGTTTTAATGCTAGTCAGGTGCACTAAACTCCTTACAGGTCCAGATTCAGTTTGCAATGCAACGGCATACAACATAAATCTTTATACCATTCTCAATTTCTAATAAAACAGGGTCAATAACCTTTCTTATGTACAATTAGAAGTAACTGTGGCTTAATCTGCCTGGGCTACACATCAAGAACCCTTAAACTAAACTCGCTATACTCAGATTCCTGCACATAAAAATAAGTCACTCTACCAAATAACTTCATCATATACATGTTAACAAGTTAATTTTAAACACTATGAGTCAAACAGCATTAAACACAATACAATTATTGGGTTGGCCAAAAAGTTCATTTAGTTTTTTACATATAATGGCTCTAATAGTGCTTAGTTGTCTTTACTTCATTTGAAACAATTGTTAGATTATATTGTAACAGCTGTCATATCAACGTGCATTAAAAAAAAAACTTACCAAAATTGGTAAATTTTTGTGCAGCCATTTTAATATTGAAGGTGAAAGGAAATACACAACATTTTTGGCTTATTATCCTTTATTATTTTAAGAAAAGTAAAAACACAACTGAAACACGAAAAAAAGAATTTGTGCAGTGTATGGAGAAAGTGCTGTGACTGATCAAATGTGTTACAAGTGGTTTGTGAAATTTCTTGGTACTAGCGACATTTTGGCCAAATGATTCTTTCCCGTGGGGTGTCTTAGGCATTGGAAGATGTTTAGCAGCACCTCTGGACTCTGTCCAGCAGAAGTCAATAGCAGGAGACAGCCAACATACTCAAAAAACCCAAATCCATAAAGTTATTGGTGAAAATGAAAAATGTGTCCTATTTTATGGACAAAACTAAATGGACTTTTTGGCCAACCCAATATAATATCAATCCTTAAAGACAGAGGTGCTTAAAACCCAAGGATTCGCTTCAGGTAGTCAGGTTTCAGAACCCTCACATTTGATTCAAGTGTTTTATACATGAGTTTTCCCAAAAGGTTCAGAATACCTCTGTTGGAAAGAAATCTTGACATTAGGTAACTAATGGCCAGGCTGCAGACACATCTAAAATCGGGCAAGGATATAGGAAGAGCCAACACTACCAGGGTATCTGGACCTAACACGTAAGTAGTTTTCTTCCTAAAGTCTTACTAGCTGGACTACCACAAACCAACAACTTATATCAAATACTTAGAAACCGCAAAGGAAAAGGAAAGCCTTTTTTTTTTAACCTAAGGTGGGACAATTTGGGGTCTGGGCTAGCCCACAAAGGAAAGACACCCTCCTTGTTGTTACAGGCTTTGCAAAAAGTGGCTTTTTATTCTAGTACAGCAGCTGGTACCTACGTGTTTGCTTCCTGACTATTTAATTGCAAGGCACTTTGAGCATTTAGAAGATCCTTCCTTTTTTTTTTTTTTTTTTTTAGCATTTTCTTATATATGTGTTCAACCATTTTTTCATGATGACACAAGAAAACAGGTGATTTTTGTCTTTTAATGTAGAGCTACATAAAATAATACAACTTATCCACGGTAAGAGCACTATTTGTATTAACAATAAAAATTTCTAACTCATAAGAAGCCATCATTTAGTCCCCATTATATTTTCATGTTTCCATAGCTGAACAAATAACAAATCTTCTCCCCATTTTTAGGAATAACTAAACCATAATCATGTTAACATCTGACAAAGCCTCACAGCCATCTATCAACCCTCTGTCCTTCAGATGTCACTAACCCTCTCCATATCCAGTTTTTGCAGGTGTAAAATGTGTTAGCACTCTTTTCTATCTTAAGGATTCAGGCCAATAAATGTTAGCCATTTTTCTTGGCTAAAATTTACTTCATTTAATTTACTTCACTTAATAATTTGAATTTAGTTTCAACTAACAACTAGAGTTTGGGATCCTTCCTATATCTTAAATTTATAATCTCAATGTGGATATAACCCAGACAATTATTAAAGTTGTTTATATCAAATAAGCTGTGAAATCTGATGTGTTTACCCTCATGGAATTTAATAAGAACATTAATTTCTCATGGGGGGGGGGGTTACCCTTGTCTCTCGCTCCTAAGCAGATAAAATACAAGCATTAAATGTTTTAACAGCATAGGGAGGTGTTTAACTGTGTACTGATGAATGGAAATAGCACCAAAAGAAAAGGGAAAAAATAAGTAGAAACTGGTAATTCTGGGCTGTGGGTGATTGGCAAAAGCAGAAAAATAGTTTTAAGTAATTAGAGTCCCTGAAAGGATCAGAAAGATAAAGCACTTTAAGAAGGAAAGGGGATCAATGCTCTGCGCCCCCCGGTGACCATGCTGTCACCCTTACTGGGCAACACCATGGCACTGTCTCAGCTGAGGGTAGAGAAGCTGGCTGTGAAACCAATTTCAAGGGTTTGCAACTATGATTAAAATAAATTTTAAAAATCAGTGTAAATATATGTAACAAGAATCTGTTTCTTGTACGTATGTATATATGGATTAACATGTACAATATACTTGTAACTATGTTCAAAAGTTTGAAAGCTACTAATCTATGAAATTGTAACTTTAATAAGAATATAAAGTAGCAACAAAACTATGGTGTCTTAAAATCCTCAAATCTAATTTCTCAAGTGTAGACTGTGTAAATCTGCAACACAATGTTCTAAGGTGTTTGAAAATAGAGATTTCTAAGACTGCCTCCAAGACCAAATTGCAAGAACTCTCCTAAGGTGGAACCCAGAATCTTAATTTTTAGCAAGCGCTTTTGCTTAAGCTTTTTCTAAAGTGAAGACATTGATGTCCCATGTGAATGCTCAAAGGGTAACCTCAGCAGAGGAAGACTTTAATGATGGTGGCAAGGTAGAAGGCTGATTAGAATCCTTTGCCTGAGCTTTTTCCGCAAGAACTTTTACAGGTACTCCAGGAGTTGAGTAATAAGACACCAAGTATCTCTCCTCTTTTCTCCATCCCTTCTTTGTACAGCATGAAAGCATTACTATTTTAAAGACTCATTCTAACCCTTACCTACTTTCAGTCTTCTTTAACCACTACCCAAAAATTCTTAAGGAAAACTATTTAGGCATTATAGCTTAAATAAAAACAGCTTCTGGGGAAAACCAGATGAATTGTACAAGAGACCTCTCTGTAGGATCTTTGCAACTTCCTGTAAACCTGTAAAAAGTTTTAAATATAGCTAGCTCCTTAATCATTTAGAAGTAATGAGTGCCAAAACTGTGAGGGAGAATACTTGGGATTAACAGTTATTTTGTGTCAAGAGAAAATCACTATGAAAAAGAATCCTCAGTTTATAAAAAGGTGAAATAAATGTAGAATATTAAAGCCAAAATTAAAAATGTGACTATCATAGTAAGAGAATATTTTCTATTATTTGGGTTTCAGTTTAGATATTTGGATTTTATTGATGATTCCAGCTTTGACAAAAATGAAGCCTTTATTTGCTCACTGGTAATCTTTACAAAATTATGGTATTTGCTTAAGATTTCTGGCATTACAAATCAATCCTACACCTAAATATGCATCGCTCTTGGAGTGAAGCTCATAACCATCATCCAAATTCCCTTTCCAAAAGAAGACCTCAAACAAAACTAAAAATGTTAGCAACTACTAAATTTTTTTAAAAGCCAGACATATTGATACCTTTTACCTCTTATTCTGAAAATGTTTAAAAAAAAAAAATCTAACACAATGTTCATCAGCTTTAAGTTCATAGCAACCTCATACAACTCATCTCTGACCTAGGTTATATTGTTTTTTTTTTTCCCTTCCTGTTTACAACAGTTTAATAGTGCACAACTGATTCTCATTTTCTTTCCTCCAAATCTGATTGTTGCCAAGCTCCAACTGCAGGAGATTCTTTTTAAAATATCACACACTAAAAATCAAGGAACATAAACTAAAGCGTTACAAACTTTAGGCACACAGAGGTTCTGGGGAA